TCCTCACCATAAAATGGAAACTTAGTTCGGAAATTCATGTGTAGGTTTCAACCTTTGAAAGTAAAGCTAAAACATTTAACAATAAAAGCAGTATTTTGGGGAAAATGGAATCTAAAAATGAATTTTTTTTCATCATTAGAGGTTTAGAAATAGTCAAAAACTGCACCAAAATGATTTGAGAATAGTGAAACAGACATTTCTTAAATATTTGAACTTCAAAAACAAGTCCTTTCCACATTTTGGCTATGGTGATAGGGCTGCAATGAACATGGGAGTGCTAATCTCTTTTCAAGATCCTGATTTCAATTCTTTTGGATAAATACCCAGAAGTGAGATCATATGCTAGTTCTATTATTTATAATGTAGGTGGAAACAGTCTAGATGTCCATCACCTGATAAATGGGTAAAAAAAAAAAAAAAAAGAAAAAGAAAAAAGTGATATATACCCACAATGAAATACTATTCAGTCTTAAAAAAAAAAAAAGGAAATCCTTCAACAGGTGCCCATGTAGATGAACAAAGAAGACATTACGCTAAGTGAAGTAAGTTAGTCACAGAAGGTCAAAACTACATGGGGACCCTGAGTGGCTCAGTCGGTTAGGCATCCATCTTCAGCTCAGATCATGATCTCTCAGTCCGTGAGTTTGAGACCCGCACTGGGCTTTGTGCTGACAGCTCAGAGCCTGGAGCCTCTTCAGATTCTGTGTCTCCCTCTCTCTCTGTCCCTGCCCCACTTGTGCTCTGTCTCTGTCTCTCAAAAATGAATAAACTTTGAAAAAAATTTTAAAACAACTACATACTTCCATTTATATACATATTCAAACTCATGAAAGCCAAAGATAAAACTGTGGTTACCAGGGGCTAAGGGGCGTGGAATGTAAGAAGTCACTAATTAATGGTATACAATTTCAGTTATTCAACGTGAAGTTCTAGAGATCTTTTGCACAACATTATCTACAGGCACTACTGTATTCATAAACTTAGAAATATGTTAAAAGCATAGATCTCACCTTAAGTGTTCTTACCACAAGAAGCAATTTTTAAAGCACCTTCTCACCTTTTTGATAAGAGAATGGTTTAAAAACTGAAACTCCCTTTCAAGTAAACATTTATCAACATTTGACACTTAGGCATACATTATAAATTTCCTTATCAACACCGAAAAAAACTACCAAGTAAATCTTTTAATAATAAGTCAAATATCAAAAATGAAATCTGCCTTTAAAAATCTTCCTCCGATTCTGAGGTTTCGAGCAGCCTGCTACCGTTGGCCTGACCTCAGTTTGGTTTCCATTTTTGACCCCTACTACCTGCTATATTGTGGATTCTGCCATATTTTATTTCATTTGCAACTTCTTATTCTCAAGGCCTAAAGTTCAATAACAGTTGAAAAAGTCCACCTGAACAAAATACAGTTTGTTCAGAGATTCAGTTTGGACACCAGAGGGCAGGAGAATCCCTTGAAGTGAAGGGATTCTGTGACTGTGTCCTTGTCATTCACGAGTTTCCAGGCTTATTGACATTGTAGAGAGTAATGATATCGTAGTAAGGCCAGGAGTTTAGGTTTGACTTTTTGTCACAGGAAGCACAGGATTCTGTCAAAAACTAGAAAATTAAAGTCGCTGTGGCACCCTGAGAGTCTTTGTGTTTATTTCTCTCAGTGACAATGTCAGCAGAAGGCCCTGCTGGGAGCACAACTTTAGAAGCAATCTGGTTAACAACATGAGGAAACGTAAACGCAAAGGAGGTTTTTCAAATAATCTATTTTAAAAGGTTTAAGCGTAAAGTGGCTTTTAGGAAAGATTCTGACGTTTCGTAGCCAGCAAATTATTCAGCAGTGCTTTTATTAAAGTCAAAGATGTGTCCCCAGAATTACAAGAAAAGAAATGACAAGCGCAGTAAGGTTGCAAAACGGCATTATTATTTGTGCAGGGAGCAGATCAGTCCCAGGGGAAACAGTGTGGGGTTCAGTTTGGTTATTTGCTTTGATCTCATTGAAGGTAGAGTGCTGTGGAGGTTAACAGCATTTGATTTGGAGTCAAGTAGAGCTAAGTTTGATCCCAGTCTTACCCACTTCAGACCAAGGAGAAAGAAACCCACTTGTAACCAAAAGTGTAATGCAAAATAAACAGCTTCTCCCAATAATTATGAGAGTCGCTTTTTTTTGTTTAATGTTTATTTATTTTTGAGAGAGAGACAGAGCACGAGGGGGAAGGGGAGAGACAGAGGGAGACACAGAATCTGCAGCAGGCTCCAGGCTCCGAGCTGTCAGCACAGAGCCCCATGTGGGCTCGAACTCACTGCCTGTGAGATCATGACCTGAACTGAAGTTGGAAGCTTAACCAACTAAGCCACCCAGGCACCCCAACGATAGTCGTTTTTGCATCTCTAAATTCTATAACAAGGAGATAAACTTCCTGATCAATGAGAATGTTGTTCTGCTGGAGTCTTTCTGGAGCCTCTTTCCATCTCCTTTACCAATACTGGCCCAATTTCGGGCCGTGAGTGAGTTTATAGATCTTCCTTGACTTACAATGGGATTATGCCCCCATAAACCCATTGTAAGTTGAAAATATCATAAGGCAAAAGTGCATTTATTATACCTAACCTACTCAACATCATAGCTTAGCCTAGCTGAACTTCAATGTGCTAAGAACACTTGAATTCGTCTACGGTTGGGCAAACTCCCCTAACATAACACAAAGCCTATTTTATAAAGAAGCATTGAGTATCTCATGTACTTTATTCAAAACTGTACTAAAGTGAAAAACAGAATGATTTCAAGTGTATTTTTGTCTACCCTTGTGATGATGTGGCCTACCAGAAGCTGCGACTTTTTGCCAGGCTCAGCTTCACGAGCCCCTCGTACTGCACCTGGCAAGCCCAGGAAAAGATCAAAATTCAAAATTCTAAGTATAGTTTCTACTGAATGTGGATCCTTTTCTCACCATCATAAAGTCGAAAAAAATCAGAAGTCAAAACTACTTAAGTTGGGGACTGTCTGTAGTTACAAGATGTAATTCTCAAAGCTTTTCTACAGATGTGAATATGTTCACATATTTTAAAAAGCATAGGAATTTCCTGAGGAACTCTGACATTGAGTAAACATAAAGGAATAACTCAGTTAAATGGCACTTTCTTATGCCTGCTACTATTTTTCATTTTCTATTGTTAAAAAGAGGGACACCCGCGTGGCTCAGCTGGTTAACAGTCCAACTCTTGATCTCAGTTCGGGTAATGACCTCACGTTTTATGAGATTGAGCTCCACATCAGGCTCTGAGTTGGTCATGGAACCTGCTTAAGATTCTCTCTCTCCTTCTCCCTCTGCCCCTCCCTCGAGTACATGTCTGCTCTCTCTCTCTCTCTCTCAATAAACAAACAAACAAACTCATGTAGAAACGGCTGAGAATGTGATAGTCCATGATACTTAACCCCACCATCCTAGGATGGTGGAATTTCCCCAGCTAGAAATCCCCTCTGAATTTTAACTGTCCTCCTCACAAAAGGCCCCAAATATATATAACAGCAGTTGAAATTCTACATAGATTCATTACATATATATCCACTACATATATACTTAATAAATGTAGTCTATCATAAACATATTATTATATGTTCAGTATATACATATATACTATATATATGCAGTAGAAGATATTCTACAGAAGAAGAAAATAAATATAATTTGAGACAAAAAAAAATTTTTAATATAGTATCATAGTACAAATTCTAAGAGCCTGGACTCTGCTGCCAGAGTGTCTGAATTTAAAACTCAGGTGCACTACTCAGTTGCTTTTGTGACCTTGGGCAAGTTACTGCACCTCCCTGTGCCTGATGCTGAGTAGCATAAAATGAGTGGCTGTAAAATGGCATTAATAACAACAGCACTTGCTTCTTAGAATCCTTATGAAGTTAAGATTTGTAAAACCTTCAGAATATTATCCGCACACTGTAACTTACACCTTACGTTACCGTGAAATTAATAAGACAAGTATAATTTTGATGTTCAAAGAAAATTAAAAATCTGAATCCTGGAAATCACATTATTTGCAAAATAATTTTTCCATTGAAGTGTGATAACCTTATAATCAGTCCAGAAAACATATTTGAAACATATTTCTATTGAGGAATTACGAAAGGGAAAATAGTCACAGTTCTAAAGTGTGTTTCCTAAATTTAATTAGGTTATGTAATAGGAAGATGAAAAGAGAAAGCCTGAAAAAGCCTGGTTACCAACTGTTTCCTGTTTAAGGACAAACATATGAAAAGACAAAATTCAGTAGAATTGGTTGGATTAAGTCAATACTTTTTCTCAGAGATTTTGAGGAATACTTTAGAGCTCCTGGTAGAAATATTCATATTGAATCTTAAGTGGAAAAAAGAGCATGTATTTCTTTATATTTTATCAATTAACCAACCTTAAAATATTTAAATAACTTAAACTGTTTTAATCACATCAACAAAACAAAACAAAAACTTGCCATTTATAATGCAAATACAGATTTCACACTGCAAAGTCTTTTTTTTTTTAACAGATGCAACATAATAAAGAAATACATGAACTATTGGAATTGATGTTGTCTTTTAAAGTAGAAACAAGGACTCAAAGACTCTACCTATATACAGAGCTGTTAAGTGGGAAATAAATATTTATTTGGCATTTTCATTTAACTTGGAATATTTGTCATTCTACATATTGAATCATTTTGATGATTCTGTAGACTTATTGAGGATAGGCACTATATTTTCAGCATAGCCTGATCCTTATGATATAATCATTGTTTCCTGTAGTATCTAAAGCTTTTACTCAAAAGGGAAAAAAAAAAAGTTAAGTTCCAATGAAGGATGGAAATGCTAATGTATGACTGTAAATAAATAATAGGTATTTTCAAAAGCACAGCACATGTTGCTGTGGTGAATGAGCATAGTTTATTATAATAGAATTGGAAAGAGGATATGGGCTTATAAAAATAATTTGATTTTTAAGTTGGATACATACAGTGCCAGGTCGGGGATAAGGAATTCTTCCATCGTACTGCACCCAACGATGGTCTGCGCTTTCCTTATGAGCATATGGACCATTAAAAACTGCTCTGATGTCAGCCATGCTGTACACACAAACAGCGGAGCCTTTGAAGATGGAGCTGAAAAAAAGCAGAATGGTCCAATCATTCATTGTACATCACTCAATGCACATTTATTGAGCACATATTATAACCAGGTGTGTGGACAAAGTAATGCGGCACATTCCATTTGATAGGTGCTGCAGACAAAATGTGTGTATATGCCCTTAAGGAGCTTATAAGCAAGCAAGCCTGAAAGAAGTGTGACAGCAGTTACCTTACAGATGATTGTAGTAAGCTAAGCAAGCATGCAATGGAACTCCAACACAAGGCTGTCTGGTGAGTTTTCAGAGTAGATGGCGCCTACACTGACACTTGACAGATACATAGGAGTTCCCTAGGAAAACTGGAGGATAGAAGGAAATATGCAGAAAAGAGTATCATATTTATAGACATGCTTTTGAATTTCATTTGAAGTTTTTACGGCCTAATGCCTCCCAAAGAACTTCGAAAATAAAAAGTTACATCACCTATTTTTTTAAAGAGGAGCATTTTAGATACATAAATAATAAATATCTCATTTGTGTTTTCTTTTTTTTTTTCAATGCTTATTTTATTTTGAGAGAGAGACAGAGCGTGAGCAGGGAGGGGCAGAGAGAGAGGGAGACACAGAATCCGAACCCCAACACAGCTCTTGAACCCATGAACATGTGAGATCATGACAAAGTGATACGCCCAACCAGCTGCGTCACCCAGGTGCCCTTCTATTTAAGTGTTCTTACAGTGAGCAAATGGCCGTAAATATTGACTATTAAGAATTTCCTCATACAATTTTTATTAATTTAAAAAATGTTGAAACTCTCTTTTGCTTCTTCCCTAATCTCTGTATTTTTTCCTGAATTTATGTATGTACCTTATCTGACCCTTAAAATTTATCTTAATTACACAGGACTGGATCACACATCATTAAGAAGCAGAAAAGCTCCATGAGGATTCCACAATTTTTTGCAAATTAATGGTGAAAATTGTTAACACTGTCATCAGATGTTTCATTTTTGTTTTATTTCTGGAAAATAAAAGACATTTTCTCTGCATCTAAAACTTACGGTGATTCCTATTCATAAAAACGAGATCACCCTTTAGGAGCTAAGAGACATATCATCTCAGCACTATACAAATGAGCCAAAGATTCTCTAGCTTGACCATTAATATTCTTGGAATGACATTAATGGGAAACATCCGGAGCTGATGGCAAACAGGCAGCTGGAAGAAAACTAGCTGCTAAGAAAGAAGGTGACGCCCCCATAAAATCACATCATCCGCCTAGGATATCCTAAAGGAATGATGGTGCATCATGCTTTGTGGTATTGCTATTGTTGCAGATTCACTACATCTTCTGATTGGATAAAAGATGTGCCATGCATCCCAACGTTACCTCAGTCCTCAGGGCGCCATTCAAAATAGAATAATAAAGTACACCAAGAACAAAGAGTGGACTTGTAACTTCGCACTCTGGGTGGGCAGAAACTTGGTAGGAGAAAAAAGATAACTATCTCGGAGCTGTATTTTCCTGGCACATATCGATGCCTTGTGTGTGGAAAACACAGTGACTTCAAAGACAGTTCTGTGAATGGAAAGATGCCAAGAGAACCAGGGCTGAGATACTTAACTTGAGTGACTCCAGACACTTACTTGCTCTTCCTGCATCTTTTTAGTTCAGATATAAATGAGCAGAAAAATGGGAGTCCAAATGGCAGCTTGTTAGGGTATCTTCTTTATTTTCATTTGAAATATTCACATTCTATATCGTATAATTAGCCAAAGAGCATTTTGTGTTCTGACATATGATGAACACTATTGGTATAAGGCAAACTAAGTGAAGGCAATTTTCACAGAAAAGAAATGATAATGTGCCTACAAACTATTTTAATAATTTTTTTCAAAAGGAGGCAGTAGGCCCATTTCTCTATTACCAACACCACCAATACTTCCAATACTAATATCTATATAAATATTCATAGCAGAGCTGCGGAAAAAGTAAAAAAGTAGTTCAAAGAAGGTATTGCAGTCAGCGATATGTAACAGGAATATTGTAAAAGGCATACCAGGGTCAAAGGTAAGGTACTGAATTAAAATTAAATTCAAATAAAATTATGTAAGGTCCCTATATTTTTTGAGAAAGATTCATAGGTGCTAGGGCAACTTTTAAGGAAGGAAGTCATAGAGTCTCAGAGACAGGTGCAGGATAGTATTATATAGAAAGAAGACAAAAACACAGGGGTGGAAATTAAGAAAACACCTTTAGTTCTAGTGCCATCTTTACTACTAACTGGCTCGTCTTCTTTGGGCAAAGTCATACGAACTTCCTTTGTTTAAGCTAGTAGAGAAATAATGATATGGTGATAAGAGCCAAACTCCCAGCTTTGTAGGGTGATGGGGAAGCGCACGTAAGATAGTATGGGAGGACATTTCAGAAGTCCCGTCTCGTGATTTCAGCCAAACCAATGACTAAGACATGTATTTCTTTAATACTACTTCTACGTCATGCAGCTTGACCTATTTACTATGGTTAGTATATGCACACTCCTTTGTACCCAGTAACTTTCGTCTGGGAATTTAGCTCACGGATATACTTGCTCATACAGAGAACAACATGCATACAAGCTTAGTCAGTGAAGCATTATGCGTAACACCAAAGCACTAGAAATAATGGAAACGTCTATGTATAAGAAACAGGCTAAATAAATTGTGGTGGTTGATATAGGAATACTCTGCTGGAAGAAAAAGAACCAAGAGACATTTTATGTATTGATATTAAGAGATTTCTAAGAAACACTAAGTGAAAAAATAAAATGAAAAATGGGGTATTTTTTCTCACACAAAAGGGACAAAAAACCCATACAACTGTGTTTTCTTACATATACATAACAATTCTATAGAATTACAAGCATTTTTTGAACTTACCTGGTTGTGGTGAAGACTCCATATACTACAGGATTTCTTTCATCTCTTGTGGGGAGTAAGTAAATATCCTCTATTAATGGGAAGAAATAACGATTCATTATATTTTTATATTTCAGTATTACATGTTTGCTTTTTCTTTCAGCATACAGTATTCCTGAGACTCTGCAGTATATAAAATACTGTAAAATAACAGTGAAAGTCATTACATTATGACAAGAAATTAAAGGTTAAAGACTGGTTTTCTCACTAGCTATGTGACACTGAACTGGATATCTAACCTCTTAGATGTTTACTTCAATCACCCATAGATGGGATGATTTGCTTGATAATCTCCATGACTATTTCCAATCAGAAGTATGTGATTTCATACAGAATAAAAATTAAAAACCTAGGTTATTTTTACCCTCCAATGTAAAAAAAAAAAATCTTGTCCTGTAACGGTGTCAGCTTACTAGTAATTTAATTATCTATTTGCTAACAATATAAAAATGGCTACACAAGTTAATTACTTGTGCAACATTACTTATGTAACAACTTGCTCAGCATTTTCTAATCACTTGCACAGTATTGATACCAAAATATGTGTAAATAATATCCTTCAGAAGATTTTTTAGGGTGTGAGCATACTTATATACACCATGAAAGATCAGCCATGAATATTCAAACAACACCAACAAAATATATATATATATACTTTATATGTTGTATGATAAAATCATTCAATGATAAAATCATTTTTACACTGCATGGCAAAAACAAGTTTAAAAGATAAGATCTGATGATGCTAACTTTATATATAACTGAAAACATCCCTTCTAGAATTAGCTTTGAGGCGAGTAAAGAAGGGAAATGAAAGAGAAAAATCCGTCTAACACTTTTCTCAGTATTCTTTTTCTTAACAAGTGAGAGGGAGCGAGTTCTCCCCATCTCCTGTGCTCTCCAGCAGAGGGCACCCGCAGAATAAAGAACCCAAGTTCTTGCTACCTATAGACTGCTGCTCCTTCCAAAGTAAAACGCCACATGGAGAATGGATGGATTCTATAGAACCATTGCTAGTAGCTTTGTGTCTCTTGCTGCGGCTTTGTTTCCTTCATAACTTTGAGAACGCTTACGAAAAGAGGAATTGCTTCATCACAATATGCTCTGAGACCTAGAACACCTCCATGTTCTTTGTGTGTATGAATTTAGTAATGACACTCCTGCCAGCTGTCCTGGGCTGAAGTAAAATAAATGCTGAATTTATTAGGCAGTAAGACATTTTCAAGAAAAAAAGGAGGATGTGACTTACGTAGCTCATCAAAATGAGTATCGGCCCCATCATTTCCAGGAATTGAGCAAATCAATCTGGCTTTAAGAAAAGTTGTCCATTTGTTTATCAGGCTGCGCTGTCCGCCAACATCATTCTGGAAAAAAAAGAAAAGGAAAATAATAGAGATACAGATTTAGTTAATGTCTTTGTTCACAAAGACAAGGAGCCTACATATTTAGGGCCTTGAACTTTGAAACAAGGGAAAAGGCAGTTTTGTCTCTTAGTATTACATGTTCTTCTCATGGTTAAATGAATATAATTCAGCTCTCCTGGATGGGTAGAGGCTGGCAAGGCAATCTAGTAAATAAGTGAGACCTGGAATCAAATCTCACCTCTGTCAACGGTTGCCCCATGGCCTACAAAAGGCTATGTAATTCTCCCAAGTCTCCACTGAACAAATACGATTAATGCCTTGAAATTGGTTATTCTGATGATTAAATGGAAAAATTTGTGTACAATGCTTAGTAAAGGGCCAGACAACTTGTGTTCAATAAATACTAGAACTGACTTGTATATTACACATATGAGTAAGATCATTATGATCTTTAGAACTATGCCTTGGTGTAGACTTTCAAAAGTCTTTTGGTGCCCTACTAATTAAACAGTAAGGCAACACAAACATACATATAAAACCAATCTTGTTTTAAATGCTAACTGATGTATTTCCATACTTTTTTTTTACTCTGAAGTATTTCATTAAAAATGTTCTTTAGACACTTGCTAAACATAAGCATTTAAATCAATTCAATAAAATAAATAGGGCAATGCAATTCAACAATTCACCATTAAAACATCCATTTCTTATTTTTAATTTAATACGTCCCTAAATATGAATACAAAATTAATACAATTGGTATTTGACTAGATCTGCTAAGTTTACAATAAGTAAGATGAGAGTGTTTCATGAAATAAATATATTAAGTACTTAAACTCAACTTTCAAAAATTACTTTCACAGCCATGATTTCCATTAATGCACTTACATTTAAATGTAAATTATATAAACATTCTTATCCTGCATGCAATCTATGTCTTACAAATTTAATACAAAGTTCACTGTCAAATACTAACTCTGAATATTTAGGAACTGTATTCCCTCTGCTTCGTTATCTCTGAAAATTAAATGCAATTTATAAAAAAAAGTATCTTAATGACTACTCCAAACAGGAGAATTCAAAGTCACAGAAATAGTTGCTATTATTGAAGAAAGGGGGAAGAAGAAAGGAAAGGGGAAGGAAGACAGAGATCCCTTTGAGTGCTAACTTGGGTGATGGGGAAATCCAAATTCCATGTGATATAATCTTAGTAACAGAGCAAATCTCAGAAGTCTACAGAACTGTGGGAGAGCTGCGAAGGCAATGAGGTCCCTGAGACCACAGACCGTAACTATCCTTATAGCCTCAGCACCTAACACCAGAGGCACACTGGGACACCCAGAGTGAATGAATCCCACTTTATAACCCTCTCTGCTACACAACTGAATACTTTTCAGAAATAGCTCTGTATAAATGAGTAATAATTTTTACTTCCTTGATTTGTTCTTCAGGCTTACAACGATGTAAAAAAAAATGAAATTTAAAGACACTGAAATTCAAGAAAATATTTCATATAAGAACTAAAATTTTGCACTTGAACAAAAATTGCACCTCGCAGTTTGCACTATGTCTCGCTGTTTTAAATTTTAAATGATCCAAATCAATGTGCACTTAGTCTTGGAACGCATGTGTAACTGAGTTCACGTGTGTGCTGACAGATACATTATATAAACTCAGTGATAACTACGGTGATTGTTTGGAAATTGGACCAACAAAAGACCTTCCTGGCAGTTGTATTTTGACACTGATACTGTTTAGAATTGCTGACACATGGTGATAATACAAAGCAAAAGAACATTAAGTTGATTTTCTCATAATTTTTCATTCTTTCCAGAAAACGCACTCCCTATTCCTTTCATCCTATATCACTGCACATATGTCACTAATATCCTGCTTATCAGGTGTTTAATAAGAGCATGTTCAATTATTAGTGAGAAACAAAAAATACTAGATAAAATTGATGCCCTTAGAAAGTGCCCTTAGAAAGTATAGATAAATGCCATAGAATTTAATTCTCCTCTGAAAGGTCTCTGTAGTAAAAAAAAAAAAAAAAAAATGAGTACAGGCCTCACTGAAGAGTTAAATTCAATATTGTTCTTAAAATGATAAGTGGGATCAGAGATTGGTTCAGGAAATATTCTTGGTGCTAGAAAAGAAGGGGAAAGGACAACAGGTGGGAGACTTCAGAACATGCATGGATCAGAGCGACTGGGTGGCTCAGTCAGTTGAGCGTCCAACTTCGGCTCAGGTCATGAATTCATGGCTCCTGAGTTTCAGAGCCTGTCCGTTGCTGCTCTAGGCCTCTGTGCTAGCTCTCCAGAGCCTGGCTACCTGCGCAGGATTCTGTCTCCCTCTCCTTCTGACCCTCCCCTCCTCCCCCACCTCCCCCCCCCCACCCCCCGGTTACACTCTGTCTCTTTCTCTCTCTGTCTCTCAAGAATAAGTAAACATTAAAAAAAAAAAAAAAAGGCACACATAGGGAGAACCAGGACAAATTTGGTTTAGGCAAATACTGGGATAAATTCAAATAGTGGAAGAGAATGTTATAAAAGGATATTGGAGTACATTCAAGGAAAGCTTTAATACCAGGCCAAAGTATTTATGTCATTTAGTAATATGTTATTTAGTATCGAGAGTTACTACAAGGAAGTGAAAGAAAATTAATACCTAATACATTTTATATAATAACCATCTAGATACAAACATGTCTATAATTGCTTTTGAATTTATGTTTTGTATATGGTGCTTCTATTGTTGAAGTATCATTGTGCAAGAACAAACATAACCAATATTTCAGCTGGCTATTGGATGATTAACGATGGCTACAGATGTGAAGGCAGATTTATCTAGACACGGCCTTTATTTTTACCGCTAACATCCTCAGATCATTTCATAAATATAAATCCAGATGTTAATATGAATAGGAAAAACCCCTGGTGCTTCCTTTTAGTAAGGATGAATTTTGTGTTAATGTTTCATAGGATCTCAGCGAGAAATGCTACCTGGAATTATTTGGGAAAAAAAAGATTTTATAAAAAATTTAAAAATAGGGGTGCCTGGGTGGCTCAGTTCAGCGAGCGTCCGACTTTGACTCAGGTCATGATCTCACGGTTCCTGAGTTCCGGCCCCAGATCTCACAATAGGCTTTGCACCCACAGCGCGGAGGCTGCTCCCGACTCCCTATCTTCCTCTCTCTGTGCCCCTCCCCTATCAGTACAAACACACACACTCTCCCTCTCAAAAATAAATATTAGAATACATTTTTAAAAATTAAAAATAAAAAGTAAGATATCTCATCTTTCTCATCAACCTTGATTTATATATTTTTACATTCACATATGTTCTGTCTTTATATAGTCTTATTGTAGCAGACTCCTCCTTGTACTAAGCTCTAAGTGAAAATCTTTCCATTTTAATGTATTCTTTTTACATATTTATAATTTGTAAAATTTTTCATTGCCTATATTTGCAATTTTGAGTCAGCTATAAATACTAAAAACAGTGCTGATTCAAAATATTAGCTATCATGAATTTAATGCTAAGGACTCTGGTTTACTGTTTTCCCCTGGCATAGCATAGTTGCTCAAATTATTTTGTTAAATGAATAAACAGATATATCAAATATTTGCTCCACAACATTCCTTTAACAGGTGTATACATCACTACTTCATCATAAAAATCAGCAATCACATTCCCTTTTAAGCATTTTATTAGATAAAAATAGCAATAAATGCCTATTTGCAAAGTGTCCCCCTCTCTCTCCTTGCAATTATCACCCATGTTTAAGACAAACTATGAAAAAATTCTAATTATTCTACTAGGCTCAAATTTGTTGGACAGGAAAGGAACTTACACTGTGGCCTGCATATATATTTTTTTAACCTGACAAATGGAAATTGCAATCCTTTGAACAAAAGAATCTTTAAATGTGCTTGCCTATCTGTCTAGCAGCCTTTCCATGGTCCCTCAAGGAATAAAAAGATAAAAAACAAACAAACAAAAAAAATCCAGGTCAAAGATGAAAGCCACCTGCTGTCAGCAGGGAAACAAGTATAATTTCTGGGATAATAGTTCTCAGGAATGGATCATAAGCATTTAATGACTGAATAGTAACTCTTACAGACATCCAGAAGCATGACCTGGGATGGCAAAGTTCAATTCACGAGGGGTTGTATTTCTCCTGTAGGGAAGTGTCAATTGACTGACTGTTGACCAGCTCTCAGTGCCTGGATTTGTTTGCAAATCCACCAAATCCCCCCCCTGAGAACCTTAAGCACAGAAGAGGGCTGAAAGGGAGGTAACCACTTTTGTACTAAATTGTCACCTCCTTGCTTATTTCTGTGAAGTTCTAAAGAACACAGCCATCTCACTAACACAATAGATTTATTATTGAGATGTCAGAATCAGCAGCTTTTAGTCACCAGTCACTTCTGTGTCTCCACTCTATCACAGCTTCTTTGCAGTCAGATTGCCAAAAGCCTTGACATTCTCTACACAAAGATGCAGATGAAAGTAACAAAGAAATTAAATGTAAACAAGCCAGACCACATGGTGGTGAATGCAGAGGGTGCCTATTTTCTTATTCTCTGTGGCTTCTTATATGTTTGCGATATTTCTTAAGTGTAAAGGGATTAATGAAAACAGAAAAGACAGAAGATGAAACAAAACACAATTTGCAATCTTTCAGCGACTATAAAATAAACTATCTCTGAGTCAGGTGATGGCTGCATATTATGAAATACTATGATCTTCTAATCATAGGCTGCTAATGGGTAGATCAGCCAGAAGGCAGGTTAATGGTGACTCCATTCTGCTTCTACTGTCCCAGCAGACTCCAGTCCTTATAAATCTTGCATAGACATGTGGAGTAGCTACAAACTGTCACACATGAACTTTTATTGAGTGTGTCTTTTGACCTTTGGGTCACTATGCTGGCTTCATCTGCTAAACACGATTTTATCTGTATACATCATCCTCTTTGAGGATCTCTTCACACTTTA